AGAGAGAGAGAGAGAAGCATCGTTAATTGGAGTCATCCAAAAGAAGACGTTGTTGTCGTTCTGACGTAAAGGAGTCTTGCACCGTGGTCATTGGGGTCATTGAGTCGTCATCCAGCATAAGCCTCTGTACTGCACATGACCTTGGCGGTACATCAGCCAGCTGTTTACCTGGTGCACTGTACACACCACTTGATGTCGGCCCCTCCTGCTGACCCCTTCTCAATGTTGTCCCACCGCAATTCTCAGCAGAGGATGTAGTAGTAGTAGTAGTAGTAGTAGTAGTAGTAGTAGTGTTACGTTGGCGCCGCTGCATATCACAAGCATACACGGCAGCACTTTCAATTGTTTCCCCAATCTGACCCCAATCCACGTCTTCTTCATCGCAGTCATCCTCAGTTTCCCCCTTCTGGGGCGGGAGATACAACACTGTGGGTTTAACCACTCGTTTCGAGTGGACATTTAACACTCGGCGCTCTTCATACGTGTAATCACGGTAAGGCTCGGGGAGTGGCGCCAAAAGACCCCCTTTAAACAATCGGCGATGTTTTACTTTTGTCTCTTCTTCTTCTTCTTCACTCAAGGAGGAAGAAGCGAAAGTGGTTGAGCTGCTTTTACGTCGACGTTTTCGAGATCGTTGGGTCCCATTAGCATCGCTCTCTTCGCACGAGCTCAGCGATCCCTCATAGCGCGGATATCGACCATAGCTGTCCCCACTGCTCTCACTGTCACCTTCCGAATCACAAATAAAGTCGCTTGCTGAGCTGTCCTGATCGTTTGAGTGAAATGTGTTCATCACAGTTTCATTTGGGAAAGCTGTCTGGTTTATGCACTCGTCAAGGTGCGCTTCCGCACGCTCTACTGCCTCCACAATTCGATTGTAACGCAGACGGTTGTATCGTGCATTAATGTGCCAATAGCGTGGCACCGTCAATTCAGGAACCCCCGCCGGGGTGCCATCACCGCGTCGCCGCTGCTTTCTGTTCTTCGCCTCCAATAGGCGATTGTACTGTGAGATGTACTGTGAGAGAAATTCTTTTAGGCGGTAATCCACAGCTGCGGTTCCTGTGTCGTTGTGGTGGCTGCGAACGTGACGCCTCCAACTAATGGCACGACGAAAAACAATGTGCACCAACGGAGAGTCCCAGTCAGGCAGTGCGTCTACGGAAGGAATTGTTAACGGAGCACGTTCCATTTCTGTATTTAAATTCGCCGCATCTGAGATGTCTCCCTCATTCTCCGCCGCACTTTGCACCCCTTGCATGTGCGCCAAAACATCTAGGGGGTCAATCACAGGGTTAGGGTCCCCATCCACGTACTCAATTCTCTGTCGTGTTTCCGTCAAGTGTGGAATAAGACGTGCGCCAATCCAGTGGAGGTAACACGCCGGGCAGACGTACAATTCAGCAGGATTAAGAAGATAAAACTCATCCATGATCTGGTCAAAGTACACATGCCTGTGAAGAACGTAAATACCGCCATCGGTCCCATCTCCGACATCACGAATAAGAACGTTGCTTTTATCAAAGCGAAAGGTCCGCCCCTCAATCTCTTCCACCTGTCGCTGCAAGGAAGGCAACATCGGCTCCCGAAAATGCGGGGGCTGCATAAACATGCCTCTGTCCGTGGCGATACGAATAAGCGTGGCAGTGTTGTAAAAAAGCCGCAGTGTTCCATCTGGGCTTATAATCTCAACAAACCGCGAGGGGTGCAGTGGCTCCGCGGTGACGGCATCAATGCGCTCAGCCGCTGCCTCCCTTAAATTTGGACACCCATCCGCCGTCTTATTCCTGCGGGGCAGACGTCTCTTTGGCGTCATCCTCTCCTTTTTACGTTTTATATTTTCCTTTCTCTGCTACCTCAATGGCGCTTGCAATAGTTTTGTCCGTTAAAGAAAAGTGAAGGTGCATCCCCAGGAAAAGGCAGCCAGACAAAGGCGCACAAACATCAGAATGGGAAAGCAGAGGAAATAATCCAGCAGTAGTGGGGATAAAACGAACACCACAGGCCAAACCAACAAGCATTACAGTAGCATCAAAAATGACCCAACATGCGCACAATAACCGAACGGGAGAAAGAGAACAAAAATAAAAGCACAACCAAAGACGACAGCAACGCCTTTACATTCAGCAATGACGGTAATGGTTTCCTTTCTAATCAACAACAACAACAAATCCAGGAAAAACATCCATAGCACATCCTCCAATACTGAACAAAGACTAAGCATCATGCACACGCACATTATGAGGGAACAAACAAAATACATCCATATATATATATATATATATATATATAAAGCAACAGTGAATTCCTTCTTTTGTTGATCTCACTCGTTTTATTTGTTTTGTTTTTGTGGGGAGATTAACAACACCTGCGTTCGCACGTGCCCAATGTGTGCGTAATAACGTATGCTCTACCGAAGAAACGAGATCACCTGACGAAAGGACTGCACGAATAGCTCCAGTGGCACCACACCCAGGAAAACCAGTAGGAACAAATTTCCCACAATTACCCCTGAGACTGCCAAGTCAAGCCGATTCATTCGATCCCGACGCCGAACAAACTCCTCCAAGGTTTCGCTCTTTTCTCCACTCTTCTTGTCGTTTCGTACTGATTTCTTCCCGTGTTGTCCTACTGACACATCCCGCGGAGTTTGCCGCTCGACATAGGCAAAATATAGAATAATAAGAACAAGAAGGTTTCCACCCATGTAGGCAGCCACATACTTGAGTGAAACCTCACGGATCAACCGCGGCAATTCAGGGATGATGGGAGACCACCGCACCAAGGCAACGTTAGAGAGAATCATCGTGGCCCAGTTAAGCCATGACCTGGACCGAAACAAAATTGTCCATGTCCCATTCAGCAGAAAAAAAAACTGGCAAGCAGCCAGTCAACTTTTGGCTCCGACAAGGGAAAACTCAGGAATACAAGGGAAATAAGTATGAACGGAATGAAACTGGCGGGCGTGGCAGGGGATGCATTCGTTGCCCTCTCCTTCAGTTCCTCACGCCGTTCCTGCCGCAGTTTTCGGATGCGCTGAAGCTCCTCTAAACGCCGCTGAGTCCCCTCACGTATCTTATCTGCAATATCGCCCTTTGCCCCGCTCATTTCTATTGAACCAATAATTCACGTCCTTTATCTAATCTAAACTTTTTTGTCCTCGTTTTTGTGCGGATGACGATCTCGTAGTAGTCGCCGTTGTTCACACTGTGACTATATACCTTCTTTTATTCCCGTTTCTCTTTTGTAAATAATCCTTTCTGCGGTCACCTCTCCTCTGATAAAAAAAACTTCTAGTCCTTATCAAAAAGAAAAAAAAAGTCAGTGGATATTGCAGTATCAAAGACACAAATACACAAAGAAGGAAAGAGACGAGTAAAGGAACAACGGCAAAAACACCAAAAAAAAGGGGAGGGAGGAGACAACTGGGAGAAGTAGGATAGTATGCCTTTTTTGTTCTTAGAGAGCCACACAGTGATGAGGCTGCATTCAGTTCTGCTCCTCTCTCAGGCGCAGCACGGCCGATATGTGACGGAAGAGTCCCTCACGTACCTCGGCAGGAATAATAGAACGAGAAAATGGCAACACCTCGCCCACCACGTCGTGGGCATCCAGCGACTCTCCAGACTGCGCCCTGCGACGCACAACTTCCTCCACTCTATTCGACACCACTGGACGCCAGTCGCTAGCGGCACCTAATTTACACGACAAATAGTCTCTAAGGAGCTGCTTCTGCACATTACTCATTTCCTCGTATATCCTGGCACCAGCAGAGAGAGAACCTTCTTCCGCCTTACACTCCACGTGCTTCATGGTTCCACACTTTTCCTGTTTTGTTTTGTATTCTTGTTGTTGTTTTGCTGCTTCCCAAAACCTCTAGAGCAAATGATGATTCACAAGAGCCCTTATTCCGCCAGCTCACCTTATTCTATCTTCCCTGATTCCGCTTATTATTATTATTATTATTTTGGCCCTTCATGTAGTTTATTAAACCGAAACAACAACGAAAAAAAGACAAAACAATGCTTTCGCCCTTCGTTGTCATCAGGGTAGGTCAGACGTAACAAATGCTCATGAGAGGGATATCAAGAAACAAGAGAACTATAGTAGAGACATAGAGTTCCCTAAATTCTAGCTACGCTATTCTCATTATTATCGTGATTCATAAAACTTTTGCTACCACAACGAGGACGATGTAGATACTCTGTCGTAGTTACGACAGCAGAAAACAGTCACTATGACGACTAGCAAAGAGTCCCCCAGACGAAAAATGAGTGATGCACTGCTTTCCGAACAATGACACTAGCGGAAGCTCTTGCAGTGCTTTCATGCCGGCACAAGATAAACTAGGTACAGAATTGAGCACAGCGTAGATGCCCTCCATTGCCGTGATCATACTGCTGGTGTGCAGCATCATCTCCGATGCAAAAGGCTGTCCCACAGCACACACGCTACCAATGTCTTGCCCAGAGCGAATGGCCTTTTCCAGCAATTCCACCAGCACGCAGACGTCGTACAAACCTAAATTAAGCCCCTGCCCAGCGAAAGGGTGAATACCATGAGCAGCGTCACCAAGCAGTAGGCATCGCGGAGAATAGGGACGAAGAACAAAGTTAAGTCGTAAAGGGAATGTTCCCTGTCCACGCACTTGCTTCCCATTAACATTTCCCTCAGGAACCTCAAGAATGCAAGGAATATCCCTTGGGGCAAAAGCATGGAGGCGTTTATTCAGCTCCGAGACAAGATCAGCTTGGGAGGCTGCCATCAACTCACGGGCGTGAGCAGGCGTTGTGGAAAAGATAATGTTCGCCGTATCCTCTGATGTGGGAAGCATGGCAATGATATCACCATCCGAAAAAAAATTCTGAAAGCAGCATGCATTTCCGTCATCCAGGCGTTCTAAACGAACTGTGCAGACGTACGCTGTTTGTGCGTAGTCGTGTTGAACAGCTGACGTCGCCAACGCATCTCTCAAGAAGCTCCCACGTCCGTCACAGCCCAGAAGAAGAGTAAATTTGACGTGCTCTTCACCAGAGGAACTGCGCAGCAACGCAGTGCCCAGTTCGCCATCAACAAGATTCTGTGAGGGAAGAATAAGAGACGCCACAGAGGAGCCAAAAACAAGTCGATCACTAGCAGCATCGGTTTTATGAAGCACTTGATGATCCTTGATAACATTAATGAGCTCCGCGTTGACCTCCGTGTTGTAGGCGATGAATCCAAGTGGTCGATTCAAGTCTGTGAACTCAAGGAGTGGCTCGGCTGTCACCGCACTTCCACCCAGTAGACAGCTCATAAAATAACTCATAGAACGCTTCTGTTGAGGAAACGTCGGACTGTTCGTCTGCTCGTGTCGAAGGGCGATACGGTAGTAAGGGTGCTTTGTCCGCAGGCGCCGCCAACAGTCCAAGTTATCCAGGAGTTTGCTCGAAACAGGTGTAAGACTCACAGTGCGTAAAGTGTGCATCACGTTCTGCGCGTCATACTGAGGCCAAGGTACGGGATCTGCAAGTAATAAATGAGAAAGACGGGATGCGTGAACAGAGTGCGCCGCTGTGGAGTCCTCTCCGATGTTATCAGATAAAAAACGAGACCGGAGCAGCTGAAGTGAGGCCATCGACGCTGCCCCCACGATGCCTCCTCCAGAGACAACTACATTGAACGTATTCTGATGCATTGTGGACAAAAGGCTGCGCAGGGAAGGATGTAGCATCCCTTATTCTGTTTTGAAAAGAGCAATGTCAACGTGCTTAAGTTCACACATAGATAAACAACAAAGGGAACGTAAAAAACAATGATATATATATATATATGTATAGGAAGGCTGGGAGAAAGGCAAAGCTGTCCTCTCGTCTGTTTTCGACTGGCAAGCAACTCACAGAAAGAAAAAAAGCAAAGTAAAAGTTGAGAATTGCGTGTGTGGCCTTGTTTGTTTTCAAGAGACGCCTTCTTCTCTGCTCCTCCGTTTGGATTGTTGCTTTGTATTTGCATTTTTGTTTCTGCTTTTAAGGCACACCTTCATTTATAGGCCCCACCCCCTTTGATTCCTTCGCCTTCATGTTGGGAAATTCGACATATGCAGCCTGTTACCCCGATGAAAACAGTGACCACTCATGCAATGACGCTTTTATTGAATCTCAAGGAGGGAGGAGAAGCAAAACGCAAGAACAAATAAATAGCTGATATGACGTAAAATACACACGCAGTGAAAAACAAAGATATAGAACCCCAAAACAATTTCGTTTCCCCCCATAGTTCTTCCTCATACCCCCCCCCCCCCCCTCCCTCCCCAAACTTTTTGCCGCGTGCTGTATGTGGCTTATAAAGTTACCGGAAGAATAAGTTGCGGAGTATTTCCCCCACTCCTCCGAGCATTAGGGTGCAGACGCACAAAATAAAAGGGAGAGGGAGAAAAAAAAATCTAAACACGTTGCTACATATGTTTATTCTTTTCTTATTACTATATCTTCTTTCCTTTTTTGGAGATGCCACTGCTGTCAGTGGTGGTGGTGGTTGTGGTGGTGGCTATCCCCAGTAGACGCAGGAGGGATCACTGGAGGCACTCAGAATCCTCAACGAGACTGTCATAACCTTTTTCAGGTGGGCCGCGGCATTTTGACCAAATCACCAAAATAATCATTAAAATAGCAATGCCTCCAAATGTTGTCCCCGCAATCCATACAAGCCTGCCATCTTCGGGCGGCCCCACAACATCGGGATACGCCACGTCGTACAAAATACCACACATGCCGCAAACAAAGATGGTGACGTTTGGGTCATTGGCACAACCACCCCCCTCAGTATTCCAGTCTTGATCGAAGGTACACGTTTGATTGCCTTTGTGACGCAGGAGCCGAATATATCCCTTTTCACCCCAGTTCTCGCCCCAAGAGTTGCGCACGATCCAGTATTCCTGTTGGGTTACGTTGTCCTTCCCGTAACCTACGAGTTGCACGGCGTGATTTATGGTAATATTTTTGTTACCCACACCACAACCATCGAACACACCACCCTCATATGACGCCCACTGGCTGGCATCAACACTCACAGCAAGAGGACCCTTTTCGACAAGGGCCTCTATGACAGCGTCGTAGTCGTTATGTGGAAGAGAAACGTAGTAGTAAACATGTACATCACGCGGCATACTCGCATTGAGTACACATTGCTCTGTTGATTCGGTCGTCCCACTCACATACGGATAGTTTGTATCGAGAGTAATTCCTCCGGCACTCTTTACGTATTCCCAGGCCTGCTGCACTGTACCACCACCACAGCCACCCGTACCACCACATTTGTCAGTGTTATTCAAGCACGATGTGATTTGCTGAGTGCTTAATGTCAACAAACTCCCTGTATGAATGGCGTACATGCTCTCAATTGATTCTGTCGCTGCATGCGCCCAACATGAACCACAGCTTCCTTGATCTTTGACTGGAGTAAGAACAGGCTCTTTGGCGTCTTGCCAACTCATTGCTTCTGGAGCATTTGCCTTCGCGTGCTTGTAAGAGGACTTCCACAAGAATCCAGTAGAAGGAAAGCCAGAAACGCGACCATTAAGACGTGCAGTAAACTCCTCATCAGTAAAATCACTGAACTGATTAACGCCCAATCGGTATGAGCGGCCCGCAACTTTATTGAAGGCGCGGATACTCAAAAGATTACTCTTAAAAATGGCCTTCCGCTTATAATACTCCGCCGAGTCCTCATAACGTTTGCCAAAATCGCTAATATACCTCTCAAAGGTGTATTGTAACAAATCATCCGTAGATGTCACGGCAAGCACCGGAAAGGTCGTTATGATGACGCCAATAAAAGCCGTAAAAAAAACCAGGCACAAAAAAAATTCCACATATGTCACCCCTCAATGACTGAAGTAACCCAAAACCAAACAGTATGATGTTTCAGTAAAAGTCCTTTCTTCCACCTGCAAACAACATGAAAAAGAAAAAAAAGGAAACAACCCAAACTTGGCACATTGCGCGCCCGACTCCCCAATTCAGAGGTGACGCATCGCACACACTCACCGAAACCAGTAACCAAATAAATTAAAAAGACACCTTAGGATAGCCGTGCTCTCGTTGGGAATCCATGAAGTGGCAGTCGTTGGAGCCCCGCACCTTCCCCCCCACCCCACCCCCACCCCCACACCTTCCCACGTGGGTGGCACTGTTATTAATGGGGGATGAGTGGGAAGAGCGAGAGTAAGACAAAAAAAAAAAGTAAAAAGTAAATTGATTGCGTAAAAAGAGGGTAATTAAACAATATACTCTACCATCCATTAAGCCTCGTCTGGCTGCACATTGCCTTTAACATATTGTCTAACACTCAAAAAAAGTAACACAAACAAACACTTCACTACATTCTATCGAGAAGGCACTCAAAATGATGTCCCAGCTCCATGAACAAAAAGCTTATCTGGGCCTTGAAAAGCGGTGTTTCTGAGTTTCCACAAAGATATGTGACCCGCATAACTAGACGCATACTATTCTTCTACTTCACCTACAAAAAGTGAGCTGAAACAATCCACCAACCAATAAAATAAAAGATTCCACTTATTATTCCATCTAGGGCCCAAAAATACATACGCAGGCGTCCTACGGCCACAATAGTTAGTTGTACTTATAACCCTGTGGCGGTGGCGGCTGGCCATACGTGTAACCTTGTGGCGGTGGCGGCTGGCCATACGTGTAACCTTGTGGCGGTGGCGGCTGGCCATACGTATAACCCTGTGGCGGTGGCGGCTGGCCATACGTGTAACCCTGTGGCGGCGGTGGCTGGCCATACGTGTAACCCTGTGGCGGTGGCGGCTGGCCATACGTGTAACCCTGTGGCGGTGGCGGCTGGCCATACGTGTAACCCTGTGGCGGTGGCGGTGACTGAGAAGGCATATTGTGGTCAACCCCACCCACCCCTGAAGTTTGATAATTATCGGCTGAAAAATTGGGCGGCGCGTCTGATGTCGTCTTATTTCGCCGCATACAGTAGCAGATTATCGCAGTGGCAACACAAACTTCCAGCAACAAAAATAAGACTCCAAGAACAATCAGAACAATACCAACCGTACGCGGATTTGGGCCGAATTCGCCAGTTCCCTGCGTCTCACGCTGCAAAGCGATGTAGGGGTCCTTGTTGCTGTACAGGCGCACCGCAACGGTACTTGGCACATTCGGCTTATAGTCGTTGTCGGTCGCATGAAAAGGGTACTTGGCACTTTGGAGGGTAGTATCCTCAGCGTATTTTCCTTTGCTGACCTCCTGAACCACAAGGTATACTCGACTGAGATAAAGAGTCACAGTGCACTGGCCACATTTATGGCCCGATCGACACCATTTGGGGTAAGCATCCAAACGGCCATTCATAGCGCTGCATTTATCCTGAAAATTGCGAGCTTCAGTGTCACAGTGGCAAGATTTTCCGGCACCACATGAAGTTGAAGAACAGTCAAAATTTAATTTCCTGGTAATCTGGAAAATGGCGCCTCGATTGAAAGGGGTCACATTGAAAACATTCACAGAAATAGAAAGCATTCCTGATGAACGCGAATTTCCAACAGGAATGGTGGCTTCCGCAAAGACGGAGGTGGCCCCCGTCACACCTTCGACGTTTAGCGACTCGCGTCTCACAGTAATCGGGGCATCGTTAATATTCCCGGCCCACGTATTGATAAACGTGGGGTCAAACTCCTTCACGGCCTCGGTGAACGCTTTCTTCCCGTCTCCTTTGTTGAGGAGTATGCCGCCCGCAATGATAAGAGCGGGACCGCCAATGATTAGACAACAGGCAAACGCCACAACAGTCTTGTATAAATTCTCAACCGCGCCAAGGATATCGAAGCACATTTTTATTAAGTCTTTAGTAGGAGACTCTAACACACAAGCAAGAAGCAAAGCACAAAAACGGATACGCACCTGAACGACGTTTTTAAACCTCATTCCCACAAAGTGAAGAGACAACAAAAACAGGGAAACAACCCAAACTTGGCACATTGCGCGCCCGACTCCCCAATTCAGAGGTGACGCATCGCACACACTCACCGAAACCAGTAACCAAATAAATTAAAAAGACACCTTAGGATAGCCGTGCTCTCGTTGGGAATCCATGAAGTGGCAGTCGTTGGAGCCCCGCACCTTCCCCCCCACACCTTCCCACGTGGGTGGCACTGTTATTAATGGGGGATGAGTGGGAAGAGCGAGAGTAAGACAAAAAAAAAAAGTAAAAGTGAATTGATTGCGTAAAAAGGGGGTAATTAAACAATATACTCTACCATTCATTAAGCCTCGTCTGGCCGCATATTACTATTTAACATATTGTCTTACACTCAAAAAAAGTAACACAAACAAACACTTCACTAGAATACTCTTTTTCTTAAGAGATAGCCAGCCTAGAATAAAACGTGAGAAGAGAATGAGAAAAAGAAGGAGTGTGTATATAGGCGTATATGCTGTAAAATCCATGCACTCGGAGCCATCAATATATAAAGGCGACCGTTTTTCTTTGTTACTTATTCTTAATTACTTCTGTATGTATTATTATTATTTTCTTTTATTAAACCAGTTCACTCTTCCGTCTGCTGTATAAAGATTTTCATTTTGTTATTGCCCTATGCACCAGTGGAAAACACTTCTCGCAGGCTACCGAGTTTTCACACGTAATTCCGTAGTACTGTCGGGTACTGTACCGTATTCTGGCATTCACAATAGCGGCTCTAAAGGTACAAAAGATTTCATCGGCATTCGGCCGGTCTGTTCGCCGGGGGTAAGAAAAACATGTTCACCCACATCGAGCATCTCCGACGGAACTGCACGGGTTTGCGAACCAATCGACGTCGCTCGGTCGCCATTGAGGCGCGAAAAGGAGTAGTACATGCAATCGATGTAGTTTGGAGGCTTGTTGTAGGGTGGAGTTGTGACATTAATGAATAAAGCGGGATCGGTACTGGCATTCACAATCTCGTGCATTACTCCACCTTTATGCGGTCCAAACGATGTGACAAGTGAAGTGAGGTCACTGCCATTAGAGCGTGCCTCGACAATGCCCGAGAAAACAACGACGGCCTCCCCACCTTTGCGATTACCAAGCTGCGTGTCCACCGGTTCAAAACCCGGTACCCAATCAAAAGAATTGATGTGAAGGCGTCCAAATAGGAGTCGCTGCCACACGACCATTGTGCAGTGATCATGCAACGGCAGCATGGCACCGGGGGGCACAAAAAACCAGGAGCACACCACGTCATCCGTCTCGTACAACGTGCCACATCCAAGTTCTTCGCCAAACTTCTCTTTCCAGCAATTGGCGTCCTTCAGTGTAAGCGCATCTTGGATAGAAAAGGCATGTTTATTGATTGCAGGGTCACGCTCTGTCATCAATTGTAATGCCACCTCTTCGAGGACAAAACTTTTAAGATCAGCAAGAGTCAGTTGTGCGAGGGCTTTTGTCATGCTGAGAGAACAAAACGGGCCACGTCCATTATTCAAAGCGGACTTCAAAGCCAACATTTGTACCAATCCGTGAGAAAAATTAGTCTTTTGAACGTTTCGCTGTAGCCACAAACACCACAGAAATAAAGCCAAGCCTTTTCTCCTCGTTACGGCCTCAGTTGGAATAGGGGCCAGGCAAAGCTGCGGCGGTAATAATAGCTGCAAAGAAATGTAATCGCCCAAATGTTGTTTGAAGAAGAAAAATATAAGTATTTCTGTTTTTTTTTTTTCCTCTTGCTTGTCCTGAACGCAGAGACGTATAGAATAGTACGGTTGAATTATCTCCAAAACACAAACGAAAAAAAAAAAAATGGCAGGAAACTCGTATGTCACGCTAATAAAGAAAAGTGAGACAATGCATACACGCACGAAGGCCCATCATATATATAAGCAGGCCAGCAGAGAGAAAAGCCGCCCCTGGCAATCAGAAAACAATAACAAACAAGGAAAGAAAAATAATACGCAGCCCCAGCAACTAGGCAGAAGGAGTCCGAGCAAAAAAAAAAGGACTTTCACTCTTCTTGCCCCTCTGCACCAAATGGGCTACGTTGGTTAAAAGAGCTCTACGCTGCGGATCGCGCGCCATCTGATCACTTTTTGTCTCGGGTATTTGGCAACGCTCCTCCTCCAACTCAATCAGGCCCCTCATCTCAAGGTCTAAGGCCATGACACTCTCGCGTTATCAGTAAAGTCATTTGAAATCATGAAAAAATCGAGAGTAACAGTGTCCGCCGCCTTGCACGACGATATACGTCGGCCTTCCGGCGGTGCTCAAGCGCTCTAAGGACACCTATTATTCCATCAGCACGTGATGTTATTCTAGACGGCACCGATTTGTGTCCATCGCAATCGCGCTTGCTCACAGTAGAAGCTAAGCAGCTATTTGTACGCAGAAAAGCTAATGCGCCCCATTTGAAATACGACGGACTCGTTGCAGCCAGGGAGGGGGGAGGGGAGACTAAGTCGCATAATCACTCACTTTGTGCTGCAATTGCATACACCTAAGTGCATGAAATGTCAAAGTTATAATAAAAAAAATATTGAAAGAACGACGCCCATATTGTTGCCTCAGCTGCTCCCGTAATCTTTGTTGTATTTGCGTCTAGTACTGCCTCCATATTTTACTTCGTTGGGTAGCAGCCCTCGGTTCCTCACGTCACCAACCTTTTGGCACTCTCGCCACCTCTCCTGCAGAGGCTACAATGCGTGCTGTCCCACATCGGCGTGACTCACAGCAGCTTTCACTGATGTTTCTTTTGAGGCCCAAAAGGGAGAGAAGCGTCACGGCTGAGTCCGTCAAATAACTGACCGCGACAGAAATGTGCATCTCACCCCAAATGACCTAAAGAAGCCCTCGAACATGTGCCCCAGCTTTGGATGAATCGTCTACCAGTTCATACCCCTCTATGACTCGTGACAGTACAAAGCCAAGAATCTAACCCCCCACACTTCCGACAACGCATTTACAGCAGCAGGCTGAGTAAACAAAATAGACCCCACTCCCCAAGACGCCACCGACATCTCTACGTCCCTCTGAAACTCAGCACCTTCAGTCGCTCCAAGGACCTGAGCAAGGAAGCAACCAGATTTTATGTGATTTTTGTGCGACATTAATTCCCTGCGAACGATTTTGCATGGCCTTAAAAGTGAAATCAATGACCTCTCGCACAGATGTTATACAGTGAAAGGAGACACGTGGTACAACGGAAGTTTCCCGCACCGCGTACCAACACAACTGCAACGGCAAACATGTAGGTCCTGGCATCTGGCAGCACAAATCTAGCCAACGATTTCCTTCACACCCATCACGGAAAAGAATAATTCCCGGACATGGTGTCCGTTCAAGCACCGCCTCACAAAGACAAGCAAAACACCGCCGTGACAGCGGCACTTCCATCCGTTTTTTTCCATATAGAATCCTTCGTTTGAAGAAGAGAGAGGCAAATATCCCACGTCATGGAGACAGTAGATGCTGACATTATGGGGAAGTTATGTGGGCGCTGGGAAGGGCAAAGAGCAGCCCAACAACTCACGCTTTTTTGTGGATGATATTGTCTTCTTTTGCTCCGCTTTGGGCAGAAAAAAAAAACAGAAGAAGCCACTGGGAAGTTTTTCATCACACATCTAAGCACAAGGCTCTGATGAGACGCGCTGCGAGTGCCAAGGGTCTTTACGCGGCACCACCACACACGTCACACGGCCCCCAAGAAGGGTTGGGATCAATCCTTTGGCCACAGCATGCATGGTAAAATGAGTCACGCGTACGGCTGAGTCTGGCTCCTTGTGACGCTCCCCAGTGCGGTGCTTCTCCTCCGCACCCTCCGTCTCATGTGTGTGGAATTCAAGTGAGAAGGTGCACGACGGACGTACGCGATCTGTGGCGGTTAAACCCGACCCACCAGGCGTATGCGCCATCACAATCAAACGTGAGGGAGTAAATCTTCACACAGGCGCAGACCCCCCACCAGCCACGCCATACAGCTCGTTATTTATTTTTTTTACTTCCGTTTCGACGGCGAATAGGGGGAAATTGAAACCAAAAACAAAAAAAACAGGGGGAAACAACATGCGTATATATATGCAAGGGAACCATGAGACATCACAGCGAGCAGAGGCGCTTCATAAACCAAGGATTGAGCGGACTTGTTTGTCGCAGAAAAATACAAATCAAAAAAAACCGAAGAAGAGAAGTGTGAAAATAAAATAAAAATATAAACAATAAAGAAATGGGGAAGATTGTTTTCACTCCCTGTGGTTAGTAAGGCAACAAGAGGCACTGCAAAGCCAATCGTTGCTGTGTTAGTTTGTTGAAACGCTTCTGCATCATCCCGGACACAGACGGACGCAACGGCCGCATGGAACAACTCTCCGGTTCAAATTGCAGGCAGCGAGCGGTTTCGTCGGCAAACCCCTCGGGGGTCACACTGTCACGGGCCTCACAGAGGCGCTTGCGTTTTTTGCGGCCACCGGAAGACGTCGTGTTTGCCGCTGAAGCGAAAGCCAACCCATCGTCCTCTGCATATATGGCAAATGGCGAAAGCTGTTGTTGGCTCTCACGCCAACACTCCCGTGCGACACCATCTACGTCATGCGCAAGCAACTCCACCGCGCTGCGCTCTGCCTGCGAGAGCAGTGAAGTCGTGGTCCAACCACCAGGAGTCAACAGCGGCGAATCCTCTGCAGTGGAGCTAGCAGAGTCATTCTTCCGTCGTGGTTCTTGACTAGCCAGAGGGCTTCCCTTGCAAGTAGAAACCTGAGAGAAATCCGAAACATTTGATGAGAGCATCTTCTTCTTCGGTAATGGGGAGCGGTAGCCGCATACTCTGCCACCCGTTTTGGAATTTGGCACAAAAATTTCATCAACGCCTGTATTTCTATTCTTCTCAGGAGTCCGCAGAAGCGTAGTGGCGAGGGGTTCATTTTTGTCGCCCCTACTCTCGCTGTGTGGGATGCAAGCAGGGTCCACGACCCATACAGAAAGCGGTGCGCCACGGCAAAGCTCACCATACGCGCCGCCGAGCTCCGTCAACTGCTGCCTTCCCGCCTCTCGGCCACCCACCGAGCGAAAACTTTTCTGCTGGATCAAAACTATCTCAGCTCGTTTGGAAACTGCACGGTGCGGTGCCACGTTTATCCTACCAGCATCATCGCCATCACTATCGTACGCAATGATCTTCTCGTTGCCTGTGAAAGCTGTCATCACTGTATAGCGGGCAGACGCAAGCTGAGCGAGAAGAAATTACACGCACCCGTAGGCAAAAAAAAAAATAATAATAATAATCTGCCAAGTGACAAGTTTTCTCGCGGCAGTATGACGTATGCCGCTGATAACCGTGTCAAAGTGGGTTTTTATCTATGCGTAGGCCTCGAAGCTCCACTGCGTCCAATAGCACCGCAATGAGCCTGCACTCAGCCAACTTTCGAGGAGGTAAATGCAGTAAGTATCTCTATGTGTATGTGTATGTCTATTTATGGGTATTTGTTTGCCAGAGCCTCTTCGCAATGCCTCTGCCCCACCGACCCCTCCTCACAGAGATGCTTCAAAGAAAAAAAGAAAATGCCGCCAACCACCAACAAAAAAAAAAAGACGTATCTGCAGAAAACCGAATTTTGCACGGATTCAACCAAAAACCGGTTACAACAAACTGCACACGCATGTACGAAAGGATAAAGAGAGCGGGAAACACAATAGGCACATGGTGCGTTGTTTTCTCCAGTTACCTCGCGGCTGCGGCGAACATGATAGTACTAGAGTGACGAACGCGAAACAAGATAAGAGCATCGAACGCAAAAAAAAAAAAAACGACCGTTTCTAGCAGTACAAAAAAGCGAAGAAGTAAGCGCCCTGTTCCCCACAACACGGAAGATATAAACATGGAAACAAAAAAAAAGCAAACGGTTGTTACACGTAACGCAGATGACTTCCCCTACTTTGCCCCTGCCAGAATGAACGAGGGTGCGGTGTTGTCCCCAAGAGAATTACCGCGAAGCTAACAAAGATGGATTCAAATATGAACAGCATAGTAAAGCAAAATAAAAATACGATCATATACTCAAAACGTAAAATTTGGAACCTCATTGTTGTGACATGGTTCCTTCCCTTTTCACGGTCCCTTCCCAGAGTGGTCCACTTGCAGCAAAGAAACACCCACACAAATGCGTCAAGAAACACAAGTGCCTCTTTTCAATATGTGTTTGATGTTTGCAAGAAATCGATCTGATCAGCAGGAAAAAACACCCAAACAAATTAATTTTTTTTAAAAATTGCACATGCATCGTCCCTTTTGTCATTATTGTTCGTTTTTTTTTTTTTATTTCTTTCATTTTTTAACGTCACTGTTCTTCCACTGCACGTGTAGCGTTAGAAGCGCACATGTAAGGCGCCATCGTCACGCATTTCTACAAGGAGTGTTTCAGCGCGACACTTCCGTACGTGCAATCGTTGGGTGGTGAAACCTACTTCAGTTCTCCCGGTCCTCCTACAAGGGCAGCACCCACAGCTCACCAGCTGCCGTCACCGTGAGCCAACAACGCGTCGAAGAGACTAATTGCTGGCATTTAACTTCACTCTTTGCAGGGTACTAAGCCCTGGTCTCACGTGAAAGTGGCTCATGATTTTTCGAAGGTCTGTCCACTCGCATACTCAGAGGGATCAACACGACACATACCTTTGAAAAACAAAAACAAAAACAAAAACGCAGTAAAAAAAAAAAAAAAAAATACAAAGGGTCAAGGACAAAGAAAAAAAAAAAAACAACAAGAAAAGAAAATAATGCTGGGATATCTGGGGTTGTTGTTGTTGTTGCTTCGTTTTTGTTTTTTCACAAAAGAAAAAAAAACAAACAAACCAAACGCCTTATAATCAACCCAAAAGAATTTTTCATTTTATTCAATGAAACGTTTATGACACCTTTTTCAGCTTTTACTTAATATACTGCCAAGCTGTAAAAGGAATGCAAGGGACAGATACGTAGGCACATATATCTAGAACCACAATACGCGCAGCGAAATGCCAGCGCTGTGATTTCCTTTCACTGTCGATTTCCATAACTGCCCTATATGTGTGAGAGAGTCCTAAACATTCTCGTCTAAATGAATAATTTCCGGCAGCCCGCCAAAATTGAAGCCTTGCCTAGGTGACGCACACACCCGCTTTGGGCTTTTGTATGCTGCAGAGGCCTTATTGAGGGGTGGAAGCATCATGGGGTTGGAGTAACTTCGTTTATTGGGGCTCCTCAACACCCTCCCTGAGTTTGGGCGCCATCGTGTGGGCGATAGATCTGAAGTGTAATTCACAGCGTCCCCGTCTGGAACATATGCAGTGCTGTTTCTGAAGCTGATGCGATTTGATGGGGGTGAACTCCGCCGTATGCAAAAAGGTGTATCGTGCTCAGCAGCAAACTGCTCCTGAGCACGGCGTTCAGCTTCCCTAAGTTGCTCCTGCTGCATGCGTGCCCGTACATGTTCAGTATTGCAGACAGTGTCGCGGTTCAGCATCCCGGGATGGCGTGGGTGGTTGTCTTCATAGTGCACCCCGAAATAGTCATCATATTTGAAGGCGCAGGCCGTCAAAGTGTGCTTGTGGCCCAATTTTATCGAAGCCACAACAATATTGGAGAGATCATTCTCCGATTGGTCTGAAATTACGTGCATTGCGGCGGAAACTCACCGTTCGTTCCCCGCAAAAGTATACAAGGTTGCTTTATATATGTGGACTCCGTTACGCAGATAGTAAAAGGAAAAAAACTAAAAAAAAAAAGCCACTGTCTTTCGCGTTGCTACCCTACCTGTTTCTCAGCAAGCAATCAGACACACACCCACAAACTAGGCATATGTGAAGTTCATCAAAAAGAAACAAGAAGCAGGGCAAGTCAGATGCACAGCCATGAGAGAGACCATCTTAAGCCGCCACACTAGTGTGCATTAGATGTATAACAATGCGTCGTGCACACACAAATGAGGCCCTGCCATCATACAAAAAATAAAAAAAAACATGTGACGCGGGTCTGTCACGTCCTTCCCTCTGTACCTTCCTTCGTATGGCCCCTTAGCTCCGTCGCTTTGTTTTCTTATTTTGCCCCCCTGTTACATTGTAGTGCGTTGCACCTTAGCCCCACTAAATGGCGCTCTTGAGGAAACTCCTCAACGCAGACACGTCGCGCGGACCCTGATACGGTAAGCCCTCCTTGTTTCCCTTTGTAAAAAGCCGCAGCGTCGGGAATCCACGCACGTTGTACTCTCCTCCAATCTCGCTGTGCTTGGATGCGTCAATGTGGGCAATGACAACGTCTTTCATTTCCTTCACTTCAGCTGCCAATTCCTCCCATTTGGGGATAAGGCGGTGGCAGTGGCCGCACCATGGGGCGTAAAAGAGAACAAAGACATGCTTCGATGGATTGTCCACAACACCGTGAAATGTTTTCACGTCAAGTTCCATAGATTGTTCCATTTTCACATCTTGGGCCATGGCGTGCGGTGCAAAAAAACTCACCATCACAGTCACCACAAGCGCCAAAAGAACCAGCCGCACAGCGTTCCCTCCCCGCTTCATTGGTGCGAGTCCTTTTCTGGTTGTTGTAAACGCCGTTGCTGCAGTCTTCTTCTCTGTCGTTGTGTGCGTGATAGTGCAAACTCCCTCCTCTGCGCCCAGCCACAGACAGACGTCCATTGGCGCAAACCAAAACAGAACAAAAAGTGGGCAGAAGGGAGTGCAGGAAGAAAACCATCAGCCAAGCTGTGCCACACGAGAGAAAAGTAAAACAAAAAAAAACGCCACACACCTGCGCACAAATAAGAACTTCACATTTGATCTCCTCCATTACTGCTTGTCGTTGCAGACCTTATCTCTACTTTTTGCCGGTTTTGTTGTGGTGATGGTTGGCGCATGTAGCTTTGGCGCTGCGCACCGCCCCCTCACCGCCCTGCCTGTCGTGGCGTGGCTTGAGGTGGCGGAGAGAACAACTGTCTTGCGATGCGACGCGGCAAACCGCCACGTGAAACCACCGCAGCGTAAGCCCCGCACACACACACACACATACACACACAAGAAAAAAAAAAAAACATGGTTCACACTCTCACTCTCTTAAATAAAAAGTAAAACAGAACAAAAACTCTGGAGGGGAAGAAACAAAAACAAAAACAAAAACAAGACACCAAACGTACATCAGACACGCGCAAAGATATGTTTTTCTGACCTTCCTTCAAAGGCGCGTGCCAACTTGAACTGTAAAGCTGCATTGTTCTCATGTGTTCTGAAATATGAAGCTGTCGAGGAGACTGATATGGCGTTGACCAGTGTACTCAAACGGCTCCTCCTTGTCAATCCGTGTGTGGTACCGCATCGTCGGAAACCCATTCACTCGCATGCGCTTAACCACACCCGGATACTTCTCACCGTTAATCCTCGCTGCCACAAATGTCAAGGAGTTGCGCTTCTGTGCCTGACTCATAGAAAGATCGTCCCAGAGTGTCATTGCTGACATGCTGTGCCGCGACCACGGTACGTAGTACAACACAAAGACATCTTTCTCTGGGTCCATCACGATGCTGTCAAATGTGGTGTCTGTCAACTCTACCACACAACTGGGACGCGCCTCGTCCGATGGAAACACTGCTCCTGCAACTGGATGCAGCTGCAAATTCAGGATAGAAAAAAGGAGCACAACAAAAACAAGCGAAAGTCTCTGATGCATCTTAAATGGCCTTCTGTTGGTGTGTTGATGGGCAACGTTAAATAGACAAAAAACTACACTTTACGACACAAAATTCTTTATGTAGTGCACATACAAGGGAGTAATCCACGGAGCCAAGGGTAGAGAGAGAAAGAGAAAGCGATAGGGAGAAATAGAAGAAACAGATAAATAAAACACAAAAGTGGCCCAGCTGCCCAAAGGCATTGCTACAATCAACAGAAAAGGAAGAAACAAAAAAAAAATCTGCTTTAGTCACTATCCTGGTGCCCCGCCGCCCGTACTGCGCCCACAGCACAATCCTGCACGCGCGACCACCGCATGGAAACACATACGTGCACACATGTGTAGGTCGGTGTGCTCCATTCATCTTTTTTTTTCTGTTTTTGTTACTCTCATCATTTTAGCCTTGTTGCCTCCCGCGGGTTGGATCTCCGCTCTTTCTTGGCACCTCCGGTAAATCATGACCCACCCACAGACCAACAGGCCTCTAACTTCCCTCCTCCTGCCGTCGTCCGTCCAACCGTCGTTCGTGAAAGACAACGGCGCCCAAAAACAAAAGAAATATACAACATAATCAACGGTAAAGGCGGTAACGCACAGAAGCAGCTAGCGGCATCAACCACCAGGCAGCTCCACGTGTGCCGCTTCATTGCCACCCACACCTACACACAGCTCAAGCACACCAACCAGCATCAGCGTCCAATAGGAGTTGTTGCCAGGGGGTAGTCATGAACAAAAAAAAAAAACATCCTCGGCAACTCCAACGGGCGCAACACTTTTGAAATGTGCGTGCATCAAGAAGAAATAACACAGGGGGGAGCATTGTCTGTTGCACGGCATTTTCCTTACCGGCTCCGTCCCCTTTCGTCTAAAAAAAAAAAAAAAAACAGCAGCAGCAGACACCAACGCAATTTGGTACGCATTTCTTTTCCTACTTTGTTCCAGCCTCATGCTGGGGTTTTTGTTTTCCATCCGCACATTCACACACACAGGCGGACACTCGGCGACACAACTCACAAAAAATCAAAGTGGGGAGGAGGTACAACGCGGTGTATCTCGCATTCACCGTGATAGGTTGAACTTGTAGTCGGCAAACATTACCCCGTGTGGGTCAACCTCCTTCACGGTGTTACTCTCTTCAGGTCGTTGTGGTTTGTCCCCGTCGTCAATCTGAGGGAAGTACGTCGTGTCAAGCGGATTGGACAGCACCGGTATAAAAGCCGCCTTTATCTCACGCAGGTGTTCCCACTCGATTCCACGGAAGAACGCATGCGCCTTAATGTCGTTAAAGTCCAGACGGTCTTTGGGGTCACACATGAGGTGTTGCATCAAATCCACCGCGTCCTCAGGCACGCCACATTTATCTGGGTACAGGAGGTACTCCCGCCAGTGCGTGATCTTGTAGCAGGTTGAGTTCGGGTTTGGCGAAAAAAAGGGAGGAATACCGTAGAGCATCTCGTACATAATGACACCCACGGACCACCAGTCGCACTCCACACCGTAGCGCTGACGCTGCAGAATCTCCGGCGCAATATAGCCAGGACTACCCACAATAGACTCGAACATGTGTCGATCACGGTAATGCACCACGCCATGCCGTTCAGCCGGTAACGCAGGTTCAGGTCTACTTGACACTTCGCCGAGAGTTATGCTCTCAAACGGGGCACCTTCTTCGAGCTCCAGAAGCTCCTCATCCAACTTTGCAAATCGCTTGGAGAGGCCAAAATCCGTAAGTTTAATATGCCCATCCGCGCCCAAGAGGATGTTGTCCGGTTTTATGTCACGATGAACAAAACACATCTCATGCACGCTGGCGACAGCAGCGCAAAGTTCCGCAATGTAAAAGCGCGTGCTCTCCACGTCAAACTTCTGCTTTAAGCAAAGCCATGAGATCATGTCTCCACCTGGCATGTATTCCATCACCATGTAGAGGTACGACTCGTCTTGAAAGCTGAGGTGTAAACGTACCACCCATTCATTAGTTGCAGCCGCCTCCGCCATGACATCCTTCTCAGACCTCACGTGAAGTATCTGTTTTTTACGAATCATATCCGTCTTTCGCATCCGCTTGAGAGCGTACAGACGCTTTTCCTCATCATCTTTGCGTTGACAAATGTACACCTCGCCAAACGCGCCTCTGCCAACATGTTTAAGAAGCACAAAATCCTCCGCACACGGCTCTCGTTGCCGTGGGCCGACTGGCCGCGCATTACCACCACTACGCGCCTCCCGTAACATATCACGGTAGTGATTCTCAAGAAACGCCTTGCTGGCATCTGCCTTCTGATGCGAGACATCTGAAATTGGACTAGCCTCCGTGTATGCGGCGCCCTTCAGCACCTTTTGTACTTCCTTTTTCAGCATTTGTTTTGTTTAAAAAAAAAATTGTTTTCTTTATTTTTTGTTTTAGGAACTATCACGTGAATGACCGAAACAGGCAACTTCACCCGTCCAAAATACAAATGTATGAATGTTTTGGTGTGCCGCCTTTATTCTACCTTCCGCTGTTGTATATACAAGATTTACACAAGTATGAGTCACCCACCTTCCCTATTCGTCTCGCTCGCTCAGCTCGGAGTGTAATATCGTAGTCTTTACTCCGACGCAGACCAAGAGAGTAATAAAGAGAAAAAAGGCATAAATTCAAAGAGAACGAGAACAGAGGATGAGGCGCAGGAAACACCAAAAACCTCTAGGGGCGCCATCCGCCACGCCAAGTGGGCGGCACGCCCTCAATTTTTTCTCTTTTTCCTTTCTCTTTGTTGTTGTTGTTTTTTTCCGCTATCGTTTGTCTCTCCCCCTCCCCTCCCTCACTTTTTTTACCGACTTTTTGTCGTTGCTGCCGTTTTTTTTTTTTTTCCTTCGGAGAGAGAGGGGAGGAAAGTTATTATCATCATTATTATTTGCTTCGGTTATCGCCCACAACACAGACAGACAGACAGACAGACCCTCACAAGGTCCATATCCGCCATCACCGCCCCTTGCGCGTCCTCGTGTACGGCTCCTCACCCCGCACCACTGCTTTGTCGAGGCGGAGAGAAAAAGAGAGCGAGCGCGTGGGACGCGGTTCTGAACAGCAGGGTCCTGTTGACTTTACTCCTTCTCACTGAGCCAGCGGTAGTAGTCGTTGATTATGTAATAACGCCCCTCCACCTTGCGAATAACGAGACGCTGAAAGAACTCCCGCTTGTGTTCATCATCGTACGTCACGATGCCGTGCACAGTCATAAGAAATGAGTCCGCCTGCTCATTTCCTGGTAGGGGTTGGGCGTCTACGCAGTCTATCTTGTGACTAGTCTTGGGCAGGCCGCTAAGGTACGCCGTGATGGAAGCGGCATCCGGCAGCGAGTGGCCGTTCCATTCGCATAGCAGCGGTGTTCCGGGGGCGTACAGGTTGACAATATCCAACCGCTTGTTTGGGTCGTCCAGCAACTGATAAAACTGCTGCCGAAACTCCAGCGCTTTCTTTGACACCTCCGTGCAGTCCGCGTATTCCGTCATGTTGGGTTGCTGAAGTAACCCCTGACAGCGTCAATTATCCTATTTCCCTTTTTATTCCTTTAATTGCTACACGCACCACGCCTTTTCACTTGTCGTGCCGTGTGAGTGCTCGCACGATCGCTCCTTCGACTCTCAACGCCAACAATAATAATAAAACAAAAACAAAAAAAAGTAAGAGTAGTGTCCCAGTCACGCACATACCGACGACAAGCAACAATGGGGTCAAAGTCACCCCCCATGAGAACAAGAAAGAAAGAGAAGATGGGAGTTATGTGCGTACTTCTGTATGTGTGTCAGACAGGTAGGACGATGGCAGTCCCGTGCCACTTTTCTCATCAGCTGGCAATAACCGCTGCAAGTTCATCGCCGCAATGTCAGTGAGGACGCGGGCGGAGAATAGTGCGGGTAATCACTGCAAGAAAGGAAAGAGGCAAAGATGCCTCCCCCACCACCACCACCATCCTTAAACCCTCAACATCTCTACTTCCTCCAATGTGCACCCCATCAGTTGTTACCTCCTCCTCCTCTTTTTGTTAAAATCACAACAACAAACGCGCGCTCTCTCTCTCTCTCTCACACACACACCTGCATAAATGTGCGTAGATGGTTAATCAGTTCGGTTTTCCTTCTAACTGCAATGAGAAAAAGGGAGCTTTTGTTTCACTGCCCATCTCACTATGCATCTCTCAGTGAGTCCCGCATAAGCTGCTGCAGTAGCGCACCTGATATAATATCTCGGCAGACACGCCGCATTGGCGCATTGCACAGCACCAGCCAATTCCCTTCTTGAAACTGGCGTTGTTTCAATTGTTTTGAAAGTGCTGCTAAATTATTTTCCCACGACTGCCGCTGCTCCGCCGAAAACGTCACGGCAAAGCGGGCGACGCAGGCATGCACGCACAATTTTTCAGCTAATGTGATGCCGACGGAATCCTCCTCCTCTGGCTCCTCGAGGAAACACCCAAACGCCTCCATCCGCCGTACGTAGTGCTCCAGAACTGCGGTGAGGTCGGCTTCTTGTGCTGTCGAGGACGCCATCATCACCTCGCTCTGCGCACGCAGCTGAGCAATAAGGAAGCCCGGCTCCAGAAGCGATGGAACAGGAGGCATAGCACTCAAGGTTTCCAGTGCATCCTTCCATCGACTACACGCCAGCAAAACAAATACCCGCATTGAATATGCGTGTGCTTGCACCAAAGTCAACCCAATACGTTTCGCGCTGTTCAAGACCTTGTCAAGTGCATGGAGGGCTTCACCGTAGTTTCCACGCTGGAAGCACATTATGGTGGCAACAAGATCGGCGTACAGTACACCCATAACAAAATGGCTCCCCGCACTCACACGACGAAGCATCTCATCAATAGCAGGCAAGGTAGAGGAGTAACCAAGGTAGCGTGCAAGCTGCGCCCGCTCAAACTGCACATGCTGCCAAAGCAACAAGTGGTCAGGCGGCCAGTACTCCAGACCACGTTTCTTAACTCCTGCCGTTGTATGTGGCAATTTTTTAGCTGCTGGAGTGCCGCCAGTAGCTAAAACGTCCCCACTCGCTTCCCCAGCTACGGTGGTTACAGATGCAGTTTCTCCACCCAGCATGACATTTTCCAGGCTGCTACGACTATGAAACAGCATGCTGTCAGCGAGTCGGGTGAGTTCCTGATATGCCGACTTCATGTACCCATGTTTCTTAAGCCAGATGGCAAACATGAAGCGGTAGGTAGATGTAAAAAAGAAGTTCCCTTGCAAAACCTCCGCGCCCTCCTCGCCATAGTGAACCTCAACCGCCACAAGGAAGTCGTATAAGATGTTGAATGGTCCCGTTCCAGGTGAAGCATCTGCTGCGCCAACCTGCATGGCCAATGCACGATGAGCTGTTTGACGCAACATCTCATGCAACAGGAGTGATGGGGGTTCATACGAGAATAAAGACAAGGTCGTGGAGACCTCCTCGTCCAGCTGACTCAGAAGGTAACCAAGAGAGGTGGTGTTGATGGCCTTCTGCGAGGCACGCACACCGTAGTGCCCCGCAATAATCATCAGAGTCTCACGCCCAACGCCAGTAATAATCTCCGTCACAACTGTTGAGGAGGGATCAAGAAGCGTCTCCATCTCGGACAGCCAAAGTGCAAACCGCACCGTTTGGGCAAGGGTCTGCACCACAACGGAGTGGCCGCCACGAGCCGCTTCTGTGTCTGCATGACTGCTATGATTCTTGCGAGCGCTGCCCAGCACAGCCTTGCCCTCAGCTGTTGCTTCGCTAAAGGCGGGCCTCCCTGCCACAATACCAGCAATAATCACGGAGCGTAAGTAAGTATCAACTGTTCCTGGGCAAATAAGCAGTAACAAAGCCGCCCCCATGTAACCTAAGCACCCGGCATGATATCGGGGTGCGTTGTTATTCGCTTCACTGCCTATATCGTCTTCCCTACGAGATGCGGCATCCGCTACTTGAAGCATGATGGCGATTTCTCCCGCAGCAGCAGGAGTGTCTTGGCTGGCAAAATGGACAAGGAAACTGCTGTAGTGTGCCATTGTGAGAAATTCGTCGGAGCGCCACTGGTGTCCAACAAGGACAGCAGTTTGTGCACAATGAAGGGCCGCCTCCAAGGAGTTTACCGTCAGATAAAATTGAGCGTAGAGGAGCATGCCGCTTGTAATTCTCAGCAGGATGGAGTAATGGGACAGATTCGTGTCAGAGACCCCACCTCCTGTTGTTGCATCACTCATCATGTATTCCAACACGTTCTGGTCGACAGACTCAGCCCCGCACCCACTTTGAATAAGCAACTCCATGAGCCCTTTGTCACTCGGTAAGCAACCCTCACAAATGCGTCGCATGGCCATGTACATGCTGGAAATGTTCAGCCTCTGCCTCCCTGCCAAGACCGGGTGGAGGGTTCTTGCAAAAGACCCATGAGCCGAGAATTTTGGCCTGTGCGGCAGTCGCGTGGGTTGACTCAACGGCAGCATCGTCTTTGACAACACCGTCGATGTCCGCCGAGACTCAAAATCGGCGAGCCACTGCCCCACCACCCGCGCTATATGCGTCTTCCATCCAAAGGATGCACAGCTCCAGCTGACACTCATCCAAACCAAAAAAGAGCGTGTGATACTCCGTGCCACATTCTCAGCGGAGAATTCACTCCTCGGCGTGAGCAAGACTGAAAATGACGAGAGTATCACTGCGGCCCGCTCATGGAGGCTTTTGCTACCCCACAGGGGTCGTGGGGCATGGGTGGAACAAGAAGCTTCTCCCGTAATGAGAGAAATAACGCAATGGAGAAAATCCTCCCGAATATCACGTCCAGCAGCATCTCCGAAAAGATCCAGCAGCTCCTCAAAGTACGCGAATGCACGATGCCTGTCGCTGTCAATCCCTACATTCCCCTCCATAAACACCAATGATGTAGGCGCCAAAGACGACACAGATGGCTTGGATTGTTCTGCAAATCCAAAGACCATGGGCACAGAGGAAGACCGTTCCCGCTGCTGCCGGCTGCAAGACTCATTTTCAACGGGTCCCCGGCACAACACATTAAACGCAAGGGAGAAGTTTGCCTCGCCCCCGTCCCGCGTGTCAGCCGGCGCTTCGACGTTCCGTGCCTCGTTGAAATCGTCCGCCACACGCTCGTGCGTGAACGCCACGCGGTGAACGTACCATCTGGCAAATGTCTCGGCCGTTTCTGGACCTGACTCAACAATCAACGGCCAAACAGAGGCCAGGGCCTTCCCACAAAGATACAGCGCGATATCCGTGAGCCGCGGCACACCTTCCGCATTAGGGACACTAAACGATGGCCCCCGCAAACTCATAGATGCAGCCGCTAACAAAATAACAATAATAATAATAATGGTACCTCACGCGTTGTTCGGTATTGTCGTTTCTGCCTTCACGTCTTAAGATCGCTCTTCTCTATGCTTCCCTGTCCTTCTCTCAAGGGCCTGAATGCCGCGTAGACACCCACACAGCCTTCAGGAAAAAGAAGACAAGGAGAACAAGTTTTTTTTCTTTTTTTTTGGGCCCACTAGATGGCCACGCAAATAAGAGCGTAAAACACACGCACACCTTACCATCTACCTCTCTCCCTCTCTCTCTTTGGAAGGGCAATCGAAGTCAAGCTTATCAACGAGAAAAAAGAGACTATTAAAGAGACTCCAAACAAGCAGGCCTGGTCCAAACGACATCTCACTCTCACCCTCACACACTCGCTCACAACTGCCCCAATCGCAGCGGCAGGTTAGTTCATCAGGTCGGGATCACGTTGACGGAGCTCATTCAACACTGTGTCAAAGGTGTCCCGACAACGTCGCTTCAAACGAAGGTTCTTCATTGACAAACGCGGAGTCGCCGTGGATGCGCCGCGCTGCACATTGGCCACAGCCACCTCCTTCGCAAACTGCGAACGGTTCCAAAGACATTTTGGGCAAGCTGTGGCCCCACGCTGCAGCATGCAACGCAGTCGCACAGACATGCAATAAGGCGACATACATGTGCGGCACACAAATGTCACCACGGTGTTGTCATGAATAGTCATCTTCAATAACTTTGACCTAGACACATTTCGCGCCACCTCTCGGAGTACGTCTGGGCGCTGAATACAAAGAAGATTGAGTGGGGTGGCCACAGCACCCGTGCACTGTGGGCAGCGGTAGTAGCGGAGAAAACGATCCGCCATTGAGGCTGTGAACTCATGTGTACACCAGCGGCACCTCCACCGGAGAGGTTTGTTGCTGTGTAGTGCGAGTGCCGCGGGGTCATCGTGCGACTGCAACAGCGCTTCTGCAAGTAGCACCGCATCGTCCTTTAAGAAACGCTTTGTCCCCACCGCACTCTTTCCTTCTTCACACTGCTGTGGTAACGCAGATGAGGATGGGGACAAAGTTGAGGCAGAAGGAACAGAACTGCAAACACCACACCTCTCGCATAGAGGGCACAACGGAAGCGTGCCACGTTCGTCATCCCCATCTTTATTATTCTTCTGTTGCTCGTACCGGTGCACACGAGAATCAACAGACTCTTTCCATGACCTCTGGCAATGCGGGCACGCCCACCACACCACAGTGCTGCACGGTAGCGGCACATCAGCCACAGACTCAAAAAAAACGCGGTTGTGAATGACGGCGTTGCGGCATTCATCCCATTGCGCCGCAAGAAGCGGATGCACCTCAGCAAGCCGCCGTACACAAGGTCGCGGCAAATGCGACGACGACGTCCGTTCTAAGCTTGCGCCAGAGACGCATTGTGGGCAGGCATAAAAGGACGATACCTGCGGGTCCGTTCGATCCACTGGACGAGCAGACCAGTGGCACCCGCACGCATTGCACTGCCATGCTACCACATGCACCCACGAAGGCAAGACATTTATGACGCGTTCAGCAGAAGATGCAGCGGTGCCCAGCGGACGCGTAAGCATGTGCCTCAGGTTCCGAGCGTTCTCTTCACAGCAAAACTCCTGCTGCAGATTCGGTGGCAAAGCATCAAGAGAAAACTTTACCTTTTGTGCGCACTGACCCATCAGCAAAGGGGTCACCGTGTAAAACGTCCGGACGTCAACACCCAATGTCACCTTCTCACAGGCGCGATGGCGGTGGCGTGACATGCCCCTCACAAAACTCGTCACAGCTCCCCTCCAGTACATCACGGAGCAAAGTACGATCCCCAGTGCAGAGACAAGGCGATGCACACCGTGGGTACCACTCCACACTCGCACAAAAGCGGTACTCGCCACCTTTTATTAACCCGTCGAAAAGGTCCTCGCGCAAAACAAAAAATCAAAACAAAAAAAAACGTCGTCAAAGGATAAGAAACTGGAGCAAAACAATAACAACAAAAAAAAACATGGACGAACAAAGTAATAGAAGCAAAAAGGCAAAACCATGTACAACAAATCCTAGGCTTCAGAAACAGAAGTTCTAAAACAAAATTATTGACTATCAGGCCCACGAGCAAAGTTAATCATGTGCAGCGCCACTTTGACGCCCTTGTGGAGTCGCGTGATAACGAGGTTCGACGTTTTTCTGGAGGCCTTGCAGCCGCCGAGCTTGGTGGCAGGACGCTAACCCCAACTGGGCACCTTACTGTGGACGTCGTCGGACGGCGCTGCTGCAGCACCGCACAAAAGATGTCGTTAGGAACCACAAAAATGCAGAGCGGTTCCTGCGGGCAGGTCAAAGCTTGGCGCCACATTGAGCTTGTCACATTCACTTGCGGCATCACCGCAACTGTGGCAGTGCTCGCACTCTTCGTAAGCGTGCCACCGGAGGCAAGAATGACGTAGTTGAGGTCATTGTCAGGCGGATCTTGAGGCTCTGCCGCGGGGTGTACCCAGAAGACCTGACCAGCGAAAAGGGCCTGACGCTGGCGAACAGGAACCTGAATAAGCTCCTGTAGCGAAAAGCCGTTTGCGGTTTCTATACTGCGTCGTGTACGTCGCTCAGAGTACGGGAATAACACCGGATCAGAAAATTTTAACTGGGATGACGACGTTGAAGACACTTTCGGTGCCAACGCGAGAGTGGCATCTAGCCAGCCTCGGTCCACAATGTGCTGCACGTATGGCAACGCCGTCAAGAGCTTCACGCTCCGCATCAATGGGCCCTCAATCACAAGAAGCGTCGCACGGCTAAACTCCGACATGGCAGGGTTCGCTCGAATGCCCAAAGCAGAAAGTATTTTCTGCTTTGCGGGAGTGAGACGTATTCCTGTCGTCACAATCGTTAACGCTGCGGCTGCCTCGGATTCCATGCCACTGCAACAAGGACGAATAAATGGTCCAACGTCTTCCTTAGAGTCCACTCGTTTCCTCCGTTGTGCGGGGCGCCGGCAGTTGGTAATGACGACGGACTTTTTGGTCTGTTGCCGCACCTGAGGCGGCGCGCGCGCTGTCACTCGTACCGGGGATGTCGTCCACTGAACCTCCGCATCGACCCTTCCAACAAGTTTGGCGGTGTCAGAGTGGTGGGTTGGAGGCTCCTCTGGCGCCGTAGCGAAGGTATCGTGCGTTTGAACGCTAAGCCGATAATGATCACCCAGCATGAGCTCCACAGGGCGAGCTCCGCTTTCAACCGAAAAGCTGTAACGGTGCGATGGTAACAATCTCACTGCGTGGTAGAGCGTTCCATTGGATGAATAGCAATCCGCGACGTCAAAGGAATTCCAGCGGTAAACGGGGCCACATGGTGTGGTGGCGTTTTGTTCGTGTGCGCTTGGGGTCGGCGTGAGGCAGAAATGCAGCCGCACCTCACAGTGCATACGAGAGACCGAGTAACGGGACTGGGGCACTTTTAAAACGCTGAGCGCTTCAGGAATTTCACTGCGCCCGACTTGATATACGCACGTGAGCCTCGCCGGCGGTGGGGGCGCACCCGCGGAAGCCCACCACACTTCCCCTTTAGCTGGAATCAAAAACTGCTGCGCCGCACCCAAGCTCTTTGCACCGGCACACAGTTCCCAGCACACGCACAGTTGCGGGAAACCAACTGTTTCAGGGACGGTTCTCTCTCCTTCCGCCATGTGTGCTTGCAATGGCGTTGTGCTCCGGACAAGATAAATCTCCTGAAATGGGGCTGGTGTTCGAAGGGCCTTGTTGAGAGTATTCGTCACAGGTCGCGGTGACTGGCTTCCACCGCAGTGCGCCGCCTCCACATCGTGCGCAGCACCGTCCTCGGAGACACGTGGAGCATCGTCTCTGCCCTCCTCATCATCCCCATCTGAGAGAAGTGCCGTCTGCGTCGAGCAAGTTCCCGTGTCGCTGCCGTTATCAGACGCCAAAAGAGTCGCCGTGTCATCATCATCATGAGCAACGACGTTCCCGTTCGGCTCCTCCACCCCACAGTTTGGGAGGGAGACTGCAAAAAGAGGCGATGTGGCCTTCAGCATGACACAACCGCACGCTTTTCTTGCTGCGTCGTCAAACGGCGGATGTATAAGACCAAAGAAAAGACACACATACATAAAGGGAGAAACAAAAAAAAAGATGCATAGGCCTCCGCGTCGCATTACAGAAAAAAAACGCATAAACGGCAAACAAACAAAAAAAAAATAGCGGTAAAGAAAGGCCAGTAGGACCCAGAAACCCACAGCTTCAGTTACATGAGGCAGACTCCATAAATTCACTTCTTCTCATTCTGTCCTAGGCGGCCCCTGTCATCCCACTAACCACACCCCCAGAAGTCACCTGGCCCTCCATCCTCCCCTTGCTCACATGCTATGCTTGGTTGTTTTCCTCCTCACTCACACGAACGTGTACTCCGTGACTGCGTTTACATCGTAAAACGAAACAAAAAGATGCGTGCCATCCGCCCTGAAAGCAGCGCCTGTGGGAAAAACGTTAGGTGCATGGTGCGTTGCGACGACCTCGACCGGTGTAATGCTACCCTCGGGATTCTTCGGTATCGACCACACAGTGAGGTAGCCGTCTTCCGCCCCTGAAAGGATAGTGTTGGTTGCTGCAGAAAACGCCAGTGTATTAATCCAGCGCGAGTGGGCGCAGATCTCCACCCGTAGTACGCCCGTGAGACTATCAAAGATCTGCAACTTTCCAGCCCCATTCGCGACCACCGTGAGGTCCCCGCCACTCACTATCTGCAGCGCTGTCACACACTCCGGGGTCTCAACAGACGCAACCGGTTCTCTCTTGCGGTTCCAAAATAGCACGCGGCCCACAGAATCGCCGGTGACTGCAAAAAGCGGCGAATTGTGAAAAGGGTTCAGCTGCACCGCGGTGACAGCATGCTCCATGTGTCCCTTCAGAGCTGACACGACACGAAACGGTGTATTGGGTGTTGCATCAAACTCTGCAAAAATGACAACCCCTTTGTTTGTGCTAATGAGGATGTGTGCGATGTCAGAGGCCAAGGAAACAATGGCGCCGCAGCAGCCACCGCCATTTGAATCGTTGTGTGGCACGAAACCAAGAGGAGAGTCCTTCGTCCAGAGTTGCGTAGACGACTCCATGACAATGAGAATGAGGAGGGAACGGTCCGGATGCAGCAGCCCTACAGGCGCAAGCGTGGCAGTGCAGTGGACAACCATCTCCTTCTCAACGTTTCCAGTTGGCAGCACATGAGTCTTCTGTGATTCCAAGTCCAGGACAATGCAGTCCTTCTTCGAGGCGTACACCAGCGCCCCACACTCCTCCACGAAGGAGAGGTTGTTGTACAACAGCGAGGGTGGCGGGAAAGCCCCGGGCGGCGCGTGGGTATTCACACTCAGAAAGGTACGATGCATTGCACGCGTCTTACCTTTGAGCCTGCGCACTCAACAGTGTAATTCTTCCCCCCCGTGTTGTGAGGTAATGGAGCACGAGCAAGAAAAAGCAAGGCACTGCAACGAAACAGGAGAAAGAAAGAGGCTCAATGACACACAACATGTGCAGAAGGTAACGCGCGACACACCACACGGGAGCAGCGCCATGGCGGCCAGGAGAAGAAAAAAAGAAAAAAAACAACCGAGCAAGAGAAAAAAAAAAAACAATTAAAGAAGCAAAAACAGGAACAAAGCACACCTGTCTCTAATAAAACGTCACACTCTTTTCTCTTCTGCAGGCACGTTTTTCTTTTCCCTCCCACAGCATTCATTTTTCCACCCCTGTAGGGGTCGCAGCTGCTCCCGCCCGAATTTATTTATTTATGTTGCGTGGACGTGCTACACCCACAGAAGGGAAAACACCACAACAGCGGCACCGACGCACTGCAGGGCAATCAAAAAGATGTACACCACGGGCAGCGACAAAAGAAGAGGAACAGGAACGTCTTGGCAGCTGCTTGGTCTATTCAACTTTGTGGTTAAAGTTCCGCTTGGGCTCTCTATCCTCTCCCCAGGCGGAGCAGGCAGCGTGTGGCACCGCTCAGTTGTTTTGGCATCATGCACAGCCACTGATGGGATGCAGCGCCGCACAACTGATTCTCGATTAAAAAACGCCTGAAGAGAAAATGGCGTCGCCACATCTGCTTCTTCATAGCGGGCATGAATGGGAAGCAAAAGTAGCCCTTTCCCTGCAGAACTCTGTTTCGCTGCAGCCGTTGCCTTTGGCTGCAGCCGCATGAAGGCAAAACGCACGTTGTTTACTTCGTACGCCACGTGGAAGACGGGTGCCTCAATATCAAAAAAGAAAGTTGAGTTGATATGGAGGGAAGTATACATGTCCGTGAGGTCCACACCATTCGTTGCGGTGATTGTGTACATCTGCTTCGCCTCGTCCACGTCAAAAAAAAAGGTCTTGGGAAGCTCGAAAAAGATCTCAACCTCTTCGTAGTGCAGTGGAAACTCCACAGCGAACTGCATGTGATACCCAGCGCCATGAAGCCACCATTGGCAGTCATCGGCCGGAGCTTGCGCTACTATCGCTCCTTCATTGCTGCCGGCCGCAGCAGCGGAAGCCGCAACGATGGTAATAAAAGCATGCAGCCACACGGCTATTGTGGTCGCACCACTACGGCACCGGCACATATCGTTGGCACACATGAGCGGTCGGACGAGAGAGAACTTCGCGGCAGCTATGCCGTTGACAATCAGATATATGCATGTATATATATATTAAAAAAGTGAGGGGCAAAACTGCAGGAGGGCACACAGGCGGCGACGGAGAGCGAAGACGGCACACAGCACACACACACAAACGTGGGACAGCACCAAGAGGAAAAAAATAAAAGAAAAACACCAGATACCCCTGCCCGGCCAATGCTGAGCACGTCCATACAACAATAAAATACAACTATTTCACACGCACCACCTCCTCCTCCACACCCCTCAGTATTTTTCTTCTTCTTGACCTTTCATTTGTGTGGCCTTTCCCCCCTCATTGCGCGCGTGCGGCTGCGGGTGCGTGCAGCAATGTAAAAGAAAGGTGGCATGTTTCCGGTAGTGTTGGTAGGGGAACAAAAACAAAAAACAAAAACAAAAATTAAACACGATACTCCGCCTCCAGCTGCTTCCATTGTGCCAGCAACGCCTCAAGGACTTCAATGTGCACCGCCAAGTTGTCTTCATCGTCATCGTTCGTCCCCCGATCCTCGTCCTCAACACCGGGGGGGAGCAAAATGTTCTCGACACGTTCGTCTACATCCTTTGCCACGCGTGTGCCGCGGGCTGTTGCAAAGTCCCCGTCAACGTCTTTTCTGGTGCCGGTCCTCGTGGTAGCAGCGGAGGAGGGCCACTGTTTGCTCCCGAAACGACTTAACGGCGTCTGCTGAAAGGCGTGCGGTCGCCATTGATGTCGATAATACGACGCCACCATCCTCCGCGACACCGGATTCACCTGTGGCTTAAAGGTGCAGGTTTCAGTGAGTTTCTTCTTCACCTCGCGTCGCCGAGACTCTACACGTCGTTGTCGCATTTGTAGGAGCCACACGTTACGTTCCTCAAAATCCAGTGAGCCGACAGACGTCACCGTCTCTCTGGGATCAAGTGTCACCGGCTTCTGATGATCGCTGTGAGAGTTTGAGGAGGAAAACGCCAACTTGCGGCTTGTCGGAGGCGTCGGTCGCTTTGGTGGCGGGCTTCCCATTTTGCCGCTTGCTGCCCTCTGCGGTTGCTGGTGCACTTCACCTATACGGAAGGCCGCCACATGCGGAACGGAGGTGGGCGTTGACGTCGTTGTGGCAGCAGCGCGTTGGCGTTGCCGTTGGCGGAAACGCTCCACAAGCTTGGAGGGCCGCCAAATTACCTGCGGCTGCATGGCCCGCATACGCTCCTCCTCCTCCTCCCGCTCCCTCTCTGCCTGTCGCCTCAATTTGTCATGCCTCTTTTCGTCTTGTTCCCACATTGAACGCGCGTATTCCTTGACATGCGTCATGGTACGTCTCTTTTTCGGTGGTGCCACCTGCTGCTCCGCCTCACGTTGTAGAAGTCGTTCCCGCCTCTTCTCGCTTTCTTCGCGGTAACACATAAAACGGCTAAACAATTCCTTCACCAATAAATTATTCCCACCTTCTTGGTGTGCTTGACTTTCAGCTGTCATTTGTCGCTCCGCCGTAGGCGTGGTGATCGGCTTAAAGCTCGAGGTATACTTTTCCTGCAGTCGTTTCAGCAAAAACTGGCGGGCTGCCGGGTGTTGCATCGCACCTTCCACCACCCCGGCACGTGTCTTTCGTTCCTCCATTTCCTTCACAATGCGCTCTGATGTCGCGTTGGCTATCACCGCAGCACAACGCTCTTCCTCTTCGGCAACCTCAAGTTGCGCCGCAACGGAATTCACGTGGTCGGCACGCCGCTGCTCCCACACCCGGGAGTCCTCGATGTACTCACCCATAGAACGTAAGCCGCGCCGCTCCGCGAGCAGGGAGAGCTGCGGGGTGTGCCTCCTTTCCTCCGCCTCCTTGAGCCGCTGTTGACGTTTCTCCTCAGCCCGCTTTGTCCGCTTCGCCTGAGCCTGACGCACGTAATGATCAAAATATCGAGGCTGCTGTGAGGATAGTTTCCTCTCAGCCGCCAGCAAAGGCTGAAGCGATGCTACAACAGCATGCGCCACTGGGGCCGTAGCATGTTCACTGCGGAACTGCTTTTCCTCTTGGGGCCGTAACGGCGACGGTAATGGTGATGGCATTGGTGTCTTCCCGTTTCGGCCCCCCATCTTCTCAGCATGAGACGCCGTAAGTGGTTGCTTTTCCTCAAGATCCCCGAGCTCTGTGACAGAAAAGGAGGCCTCTTTTTCCGCGCGAGGGAAACTCACAATTGGCGGCAGCTGCAGGGCAATGTCGGCGTTCAACATGCGGATCCCATCAGCGAAGTCCGTCATTCTGTGCGATGCGTGGTTATTCTCCTCCTGTGATTGTGATGGCGGTGGCGGCGATATCTTTGTTGTTGTGGAAGAAAGCGGTATGGAGATTTCATTGTCAAGGGGCAGGAACTCGCCCTCGATGTCCAAAACGATAGAGCTGTCCACAGTGTTGTCGCTGAGATAATCGCTTCTCCGAGACAAACTTTCACCCCCTAATTTTGCCGATAGAATCATCAATGATGATAATGATGGGGCAGACTGTTCTTGTCGATCGTCATCGATGTTGCTTTCCGAGGCATCAAGCGAGACCCCTCTCCCGTCCGAAGCCACCTGCATTACCCTCACAACCATTTCTTCTTCTAGCACTGCATCTTCTGCCCTTGTTGCCTCGCGGGAACTTTGTCCATGCTCTGCAGAATGCTCTATGAGCACCTCAGACTGAATAGAAGACGACATGAGGCACTGCGGTGGGTTGCCCAGTAGTGGAGGTAAAGCTTTACTGCGTTCATGTCGCCGTGTGTCGCCTCTAACAGCAGCTTGACTCGCGTCCAGCACAAGGCCTTGGTGCTCCCCCGCCAGCCAATCCAAGGAAGACTTTGTCGTACCATAAGAATAGGCGGGAGCCGGCACACAAAACTCTCCGGCAGCCCAAACTTCTTCAGATGAGAAGCACGAGTCATGCATCAGACGTTTTTCTTGGTGCCATGCGGCCTTGTTCTCGAGGTGCCCCGCCTTTTCGAGGACGTTTTGTTGCTGTGGAAACTCATCCGTGTACATCCCGCTACTGTCATGGTGCCAAGGCTCAGCCTTTTCCACCCTCTGTTTTCTTTTTGCTTGCCTTTTTGTGTTCGAGGGGGTGGGGTGAGTTCCTTTACGCGTCGCTGGCAGCAACGGCAACCCCCACACACAGACGTGCGCTCCCTCTTCCTGCCGCAGCAAATAATCACCAAAACGAGAAAAAGGTAAATGGAAAAAGAAGTGGAATAAAAAAGGGCCGCAAAACAACATCACGCGGGTGCGAAGCGCGTACACAACGCGGGGAAAAATAGGGAGAGCACACCAAATACGTCAAAAAGAAAAACAAAACAGTCAGAGGGTGCTCGTACCGGCATCTCAACTCCCTCGGCTCACACACATCACACAGAATGTGAGATTCAGGCTGCTCTGGCCCCCGTGACTCCCGTTTCTTTATCTTTGTTTTATGTGTTTTTCCCTTTTGGTCCCTATTGATGACATTGGTGCGTTTGTTCTACTTCTCATTGTCTTAGGTTTGAGGCGTAAATGAAAGTTTTTGCCTGGCGAAGCCCCCCACACCAGGTAGTGCCTCCGCCCATCCGTTGGACACCCACACAAAGCGTTCCACATCCTCCACCAGGGGGGCGAGTATTGATGCAAACGCTCATGTCACAAAGTACGGCATCCTTCGCTTCCGCGGACCGGCAAACCTCGCGCCTTCTAATGATTTGTCTACACCGTCTTCTGCGGCACGCTCCGATGTCCGCTCCCTCGCGACGACCCAGCCTCTTTACTCCTCCCACTAGCGCTGCCGCTGCGTGTACGCTCGGACGGCCTCCCACCACCCAAGCGGCGCCGGCGAGCTGTGCGCACAGCAGCAAGAACCTGCGCAAACACCACAGGCGCCAAAAGGAGACCTGCAATCTCGCCCCAGTACTCGCCACGTGCTCCGGCGGTCGCGCCTCCCAAAGCTGTTCCACAAACTTGCGATACCCCCACCACCAGGCGCATGGCGGACCTTGCCACAAACCCATTTGGGGTGTCGCTGATGCTCCATGCACCTTTTCGCCCCACATAACACTCAGCAGCATCCACGACCACATCGCTCAGCAGATGCAGTGTGCTTCGCTTTATGCAATCCTCAGCAGCTGCAAGTGGGGAAATTGGTGCAGTGTACATACTCAGCTCCGACGGCGACGGACACGGACCAATAAGTTTGGATAAAAACGGTGGAAGACGGAGAAACTTCACCAACTCTGCCAAGTAATGCTGATGCATCTTTGGGTGCACCTCCCATAGAAACACCACAGTGTTACCATACGCCGTGTTGGAGTAAATTAGGGCGCATGCTAATCCAGTCTGCACCGCCACACGCGCAAGTCTGTCGGAGAAGGAGAGAAAAGTTTCCTTTCCAGACTCTGCCACGATCCCCAAAACTTTCGAAAGAGGCATATCGACCCCCTCCACCACACACTCGTCCAGCTTCATGTGAATGTCGACCATCGTCGGCAGCACAAAGCCGTAACTCAGCATCAGCGGTGTGGTATTTTCCGCAAAACGCTTACGAATGATGGATCTTGACGTAAAGCCATGGTGTGGAAATACGCGTCCCTTCGACGCAAGAACATATTCGCGACCGGCTGGCGCGGGAGAAACAGCGACGGTCGTCATGCCAGCAGCGAAAGACCGAGCGGCACAGACACACTTATTAAACCCTCATGTCCCAAAACAAAAACAAAGAAAAATAAAAGAAAACAGTAGAAACCCAGCAACGAGAATCCAAAAAAGCACACACAACACGCAGTAAGAAACACCGTCAATCAGCCACATACGAAAAAAAAAAAAACCATGAATAAACTAGCCCGCTGTGCATGTACAACACAGTGACCAAAGTAAACACACACACACACAAAATAACAATAATAATAATAATCCACAGGCCCCAGATTCAAAATGTGTCTCATCTATTGAAAGAAAGGCAAACACGGCAAACACATGACGCACACAACCAACACCTTCTATGTGGAGCAATACTGGAAAAGTCTGGCCTCAATGGGTATCCTGTGGAGCGGCATCAATTTATACAGCTGCCAAGGGACCTGTAATGCTGAGGCGTGTGTGTGGCCAGTTCACTCTCCCGAGAGCAAGTCCGTCGTTGGTGCAATAGGTGTTGGTGCTCCACAACGGTGCTACCCGCGGTAGTCGTATAGTCCGCAAACAGCTCCTTCAGAATTCATAAAAGCCCAATCAGCCAGTCGTCGACGCACATACATTCGTTGTTGCATAGCGCAGTAAAGAGGGAGTGGTGAGGTCATCAGAGGTAGATGCAGTGTGCTTCAGACATGCAAATCAGACGTTTTGTTAGGATAAAGACGATCAAGACTCATCACGCCCACGGCAGAGAACCATACGAGAAGCTGGGGGCAAGGAATAGTCAGGCACGGCACACCGCCCGAGGAAGCACCAGCCTCCGGCGTGAGAAGACAAGAAAAGGGAGAGGAGGAAGAGGAAGAGAAGAAGCGGTACGGAGGGCACACACGTCAGTCCCGTGCCTGTGGTAGGTAGCTTGTTGCACGGAGGTGTAAGTCACTGTCACATTCATACAAATGCCTCGATTGATCGCATCATGATGGCCCCCGCGGTTCGTATTTCGGGTTGCACGTCATCGCTAATCATTAAGCGTGACACACAGCTGCGTCGGCATCAAACGCGCTTTCACTGGCTTCTCACAGCCACGTGAAGGACCGTCGCATACGTCAGCAGCGAATAAAGGCACGTTCGTGGCTAGATCAAAAGAGTGTCCATGTCAAATGGGCAAAGAAGGCAAAAAGAAAAAAGAAGCTTTGCAACCCCCATTAAGCAGTACTCCAGGAGCGTGTCGGGCTCTGCAATCAGCCCAGGTGAAATGAAAATTAAAGATGGCAGTAGTCACCAAACAATGGATGGAAAGAGCGGGAACGTCGCAAAAGCGGAAGATAAATAATTATCACTCCCCCCCCCCCCCATCTGCTTCTCCGCCCACACGTGTACAGAGTTATTAAAGAATAGTAACGCCGGGATCACGACATGATCTCGATGGACTGTGGGATAAGTACGCCACTTGAGGATTTCTCTACTCCCTGAGTCTGCTGCCGTGCTTGTCGCTGCTGCCCCTCCGCAGCCGCAGCTGCCTCGATCTCTTTGCTCACCTGCGATAACTCAGACGCATGATGGTGGGAATTCGATAGGGGCGACCCCGCCGTTTGATCCCACCGCAATGCAGAAGAGCGAACAGTGCTGAAACGTAGATCCAACGCATCATCCGTATCCCGTTGCTGTTGCAGCTGCGGCTGCGACGGCCACGATGATTGCTGAGGTCCCTGTGAGCAAGACGCAACGGCTGGATCCGACAATTTCCCCTCCAATCCCAGACGTCGGAGGAGGCGTTGAATGCGCAGAAGCTCCTTGCGATGTCCGCAAAGAACCTGCACGTCGGCTGTTCGCTGCTCTAGTCGCTGACGCAGTAGCGTGTTTTCTTCTGACAGAGTCATAACCTTGTTGTGAAGCTCCTCGTTTTCCTGCGTGAGTCGCTCCACGGTGCGCTCCACCATGGCAAAGGGACTGTTGGAGTTGTTCAACGCCTCTCGGGCCATATCAAGTGAGGCCTGCAACCGCGCAATCTGCTTATCTTTGAATTCCACGTCGTACTGTAAGGCAGAGAGGCGATTCTCTAACTGCAGACACCGCTTCGTCACAGTGAGCGTGTGCGCTAATTTGCGTGACCGCGGCAAGGCGAGCCAGCTCTCATAGTTACTTAGTGGGGCTGCGGAAGACGAGGCCGCAGGTGCGCCGTCACCCCCCGCCGCTGTGAACGCAGCAGCTGCAGTAAGCATCATTTGCCCCTCCGACTGCATCGCCATGTTTGACACGAACAGTTCCGATTCCAGCTCGAGGTCAGAGAGTGTCTTCAACTTCTCCTCCGCCCCCCTGAGGCATGCCTCGAGCTCCATCACCCGCTGACTGTTTTTCAGCCGTAGTTCATAATACTCGGATTTGAGGATGTCGAGCTTCTGCTCGGAGCACTCAGCAACTGTTTTGTATCGCTCTGCCTCCATCTCCGCCTCGCGAAGCCGCACCCCCAGTCGTGTGACCTCCTCTGTCTTGAGAGATGCATTGAGCTTCGCCGTCAAGTACTGCTCCTGATCCACGTACGCGTTCTTCAGTCTTGACTCCAAGTCCCGAACTTTTCCCTCGAGCTCTACCACGCCGCTGCCGCGCTGCTCCATTTCTTGCAGCTGACGTCGCAAGGACCGCCGCTCCGCCTCCACAGCCGCCTCCAGTTCCTTCAGCTGCTGCTGAAGTTCCCTGTTCTCACGGGTGAGCCGTGTCGTCTCCGTCGCCATTTCCGTCGACCGCTGCACCGCCGAATCCTTTGCCGCCCGCATTGACCCAAGCTGTTGGTAAATACCAAGCTTCACGGTGTCCAGCAAATCCCGCTTCCCCTCCTCCAAGGATTCAATCGCCCTGTACTCCTCCTCCGTTATGGGGTTTGTCAGTTCCATGCGTATTTGTGACTTGAGGCGGTCCACCTGTGACTGGGTCGCTCCAAATTGCTGCTGCAGACGCAGCGTCAGCGCAGAAACCTCAACTTCACGTGCCCGCAACCGCGTATTCTCCTCCTGTAGAAGACGAATGTCGTCCTGTTGTCGCTCAATACGCCGTAGAAGTTCCTTCGATGAACTGGGAAGGCCACCCAAAACAGCTGCCAACTGAGGATCTTGACGTAGCAGCGAACTACCACTCTCCTCCGTGCCACTCGCTAAGCCATCTGTGGTAGTCGTCGTAGTCGACATCACGCCGGGAGAGTGCGACGGACGCGGACGTTGACGTCGTAGCCGATTCTCCGACTGCTCCACCGGCGTCTCCATCCGCAACGTGAGTAGCAAACACGCACTCGCTCACACAAAGACACTCAGAGAAACTAAAAAAAAAAACGTCGAGATCACAAACAACCTAAAAATGCACGGACGCACCTTGACTCCCTGCCCTCTATCAATGGGCAAGTGTGTGGAGTGGGTGGGCGGCGCAAATACGACTCGCACTCGTTATGGGCGATCCCCTTGTTTGCTTGCACACAAAAGACAAGAAAAGAAAAACAACACAAGCACTCAAAAATAAACCACCCACGCGGGACGGACGGCATATATATATATATATATATATATACATACATAGAAGACGTAAG